TGTGGTGCTGGGGGGATTGAACCGCAGTCCCTGTGCTTTGCCAAGCTTATTCCAAGTAGGTGCTTTAGACCACTGAGCCATCTCTCCAGCCCCATCCACCAACTTTCATCTGTCACCCATCGAGAGCTTTTCCAAGGATCATTAACTTCCTGATGCTGCCACCCTGCCCATGCCAGCCCGAGGTCACAGGCACAGAACCACAGGGGCAAGGGTGGAGGAGCGTCGGCGCACACATTAATGGTGGATGCGGAGCAGGTGGTATGGCCCTCCCAGAGGACCAGCCCTGGCCTAGCACACTTGCCAGCAGCCTCATGTCCTCAAGCCAGTATTCCCAGTACCACAGACGTCAAGCCACCAACATACAGAGTTGAGAAGATGTGAGCCCAGCTGGTTCTCATGTGTTGACAAGACAGCACTGGTCTGCCCACAGGAGGGGACAGGGACAGCGCCTTCTGCAGGGATAGCCAAAGCACCTTGCTAACAATGCAGATTCTCTCGGGGTGATGTGGCTGTGACGCTATTCTGCAGAATACTGTGTCATTGTGTGAAACTCTTCCAGGTAACAAAGAGGATTCTTCTCAAATGTCACACCCTTAGGCAGGTTCGTACTGTTTATTGTTTTCACCATCTCCCCCTGTCACCACCCCTCACCACATGTCGGGCCTCAGGGGATCAAGAAAAACCATTTCAGGAGCCAGATTTCAAGGGTCCTCCATGAAGCCCACGAGACAACAGTGGACACATCCTATTTTGCCTGATCCATACAAATTCCCCACTTTCCTGACAACAGCACTTCGTTTTTCTTTAGGCAACCGCCTCTCAGCCCATCCTGAATCCTGAGCCCAGCCTTCCCAGGAGCTAGTAGATGCCATGGGCCTGGCCAGTTAGAATACTCCGTTGCCCAGGGGACAGGGACAAGGGCCCAGGAGGGAAATAGCAGTCTTTGCTTGGAACTGCTGGGATGAGGGAATCCCTTCCCACTGGCTTGAGCCGGGGATGTAACTCAGCAGCATAAGCACGTGCCTGCCAAGCACAGCCTGAGTTTGATCCCCAGTACGAAAACCTTCCCACCCGCTTACGAGAGGAAAAGTAAGCTGGGCTGCACACGTGAGAAATCTGGGTCCTGATAGCCTCCCTTGTGCCTGGAGACAGACACTTCTGGACTTTGTAATTATATGAGCCATTAAATTCCCCTTTTTAAACTGAAGTCACTTTGAGATGGACTTCCGGTCACTTGCAACCAGAAGATGATGGGCTGACTTAGAGAGCTGAGATCAAGGGAGCTGTGCTTCAGTTCCCACCCTTCCTATTTTCTCTTCTCAGCTGTCAGGAGAGTTTGGTTTAGAAGAATACGATGGATCCCGAGCAGATACCGGCTGGCCTGACCTTGCCCAAGGCACCGAGCAGGTCACTTCAGGATCCTGATGCTCATTTTTTGCTCGATGTTCATCTTCTCTAAGGACTAAGGAAAGATGGTCAAGTGAGGAGGTTTGAATCCCAATCCTCTAAGTTCCTGCCTCCCCCCGGGCCCCAGGCCTGCCCTTTCTGGAACCCCTGTTTGTGAACCCTCCTTGTGAACTTCATTTTCCCTGTTCATGCCTCCTAGGGACCCTGATCTCAACTCCACATCTCCAGTGGCGTTCTGACCTTAGTGAACTCCATAAAGGACACAGCCCCGTCTCCATCTATGTCTGCCTCCTGCACGGTGCGGTCTGCAATACTCTCCAGCTGCTCTTCGGTCACCTGGACCCCAACCATCAGGCGGAGAACCTAGGAGGAGGGAGAAGATGCAGCCACACAAAAGCAGCTGAACCCGCCCACCCCCACACTCGCTACCACATCCCTGGTCCATCCGGGTCCATTTTTCGCCTCATCCAAATCTCATTTCCACCACGTCCCACCCAATCCCCCACTTAGCCTTCACTGCCCTTCACCCAACCCAACGATATGCCCAAGCTCATTTTCCCAGCCATAGAAACCAACCTCCACTCAGCCTCCACACCCTCCGCATCCCTGCCTCCACTTCCAGCTCCACCCCACCCATTCCATCTACTTCAGGATCTCCCCATCTTGACACTATTGGCCTTTGGGGCTGGAGAGCTCCTTGTTGTAGGAGGTTGTCCTGTGTATGGTATGACACGTAGTAGTATTCCGGCCCCCACCCGACAGACACCAGTAGCACATGTCCCCAGCTGTGACAGTCGAGGGTGTCTCTAGACATTGCCGAAGACTCATTCAGGGGGCAAAAATCTCTCCCAGCTGAGAACACCGATCTATTCCTAACTCATGCTCAGTGGGCCCCGCCCCACCCCCAACTAACACATACTCCGACCCTACCCGTTCCCATTTCCCAGCCAGTACCCCAGTCCCCTACGACATCCAGCCACAAGCTACCCTCCCCAAACCCTGCCCCGCCCCACCCAACCCCACACCCCGCACACATCTCATCGCCTGGGCTCGGCTCTTCCAACCTGCAGCATTTCGTTCCTGGAGATCTTTCCATCCCGATCCAGGTCATAGAGCTGAAATGCAACTGGGCGGAGAGCGGGGAGGGAAAGAAGGTGAGGCTCCGCAGTCCTGTCTATCAGAAGATCACCACGGAGGGGTGGAAGGCAGGAGGGGGGGGCCTCCGGGGCTTCCCTGATAGGGCACGTGGGAGATGTGGCTCAGGTGGCTCCCCCCCGGACTCACAGCGGAGTTTGTTCATTCTGCTGTTGAGGGGTTCTGGCTGCTTGGGGTCTTGCATTCCTGGGTCCTCCTCATCTACAGGTCGAAAATGAGCAAGGACCCTGGCAAAGCCAGCGAAATCCACCTGGTGATTCCTGGGTGGGGGGTGGGGGGGTGGAAAGGGAAGGAGTTACCACATAGGCTCTGTCTGTATCTGACCTTTTTAAAATGTTTTTAAAAACTTTTTCATTTGTTTGTTAGTTTGATACAGAGTCTCACTAGCAGCTCGGACTTAGAGTGATCCTCCTGTCTCAATCTCCTCAGCACTGGGGTTACAGGCATGCTCCAGCCAGCCTGGTATGCAGTACTGGGACTGAACCCAGGTCCCTGCACTCACCAGTCAGACACTCAGACTGCCCAGCGATCTCCCCAGCCCCACACGGATGTTTTTACCCTTGCCCCAGAGCAGCCTCACCCATCCGGGAAAAAGCTTTCTATGATGCGGTCTCCCAGGGGGTTCACGGCCAGCGCCCCAATCTGCTGGAGATCCATGCGGCTGCAAAATCAAAATGCGAAGGGGGTGGGACACATTGCTTTGCATTACCGAATATTTGTGCAGCAGCGTTTGCCTGTGAAAATTTACTCTCGAGACATACAGCATTCGTGTCCAAAACGCACAGCTGTGTGCACATTGTGTATGGACGGCATTTGCTTGTGTTCTGTATCACAAAACAACACATCGTTTTGTATTTTTGTTAAAAAGGGGGGATGGGGGGCAAAGGCCGTAGATGGAGGTGAGGACAGAGGAAACGGAGTTAGGGGTTAGCGAGACAGAGGCAAGAGGTCCTGGGGTCCCCTCACCTCAGGTAGCCCTTATTGTCCCTGTCCAGAGCCTGGAACCGGTGGTAGAGGCGGAGCAGACTGGCTTGTGAGACTGCGGGAGTTGGGGGGAAGAAGGGCTGGCCACAGCTGGGACCCTGGGACCTTCCCAGACGTGGACACCAGTGCCCCTGGCCGCGCTCCCAGACTCCAGGGCCCTGGTCTCCCCGCTCAGGGGTCCCGGGCCGGTGAGCCACCAAACATCCTCCTGTGCCAGTGACCCCCCCCCCCCGCGCCCCGGCTGCCCTGGGGCCGTGAGGCCTCCTTCCCTGTCTTACGGTGCTGTCCGGGCAGCACGCCGACGCCCTTCCAGGAGCTCGGCCTACCAGAGACACACGCCGCCGAGTTCGCGCCCCGCGCCCGACTCCCCAAACCCGGGACCAAAGCCACCGTCCTCCGTCCGCCGATCCCGGCTGGAACCGCCCTGCGCCTGGGCGAGCCCGGCCCTGAGCCCAGACCCCTCGAAGCTGGGCGCAGAGTGGCGGAGACGGCGCGCCCCAGCACCCCGGCCTCCGCTCCCTCCGCCCGCAGACCCAGCGCACTCACAGCCCGTCTCCCGCCGAATGCTGTCCGCGTCGGGAGGGACCGCGGAGTGGGAGCCGCGCGCGCCCATGAGGCCCGGAGGCGGCGGGACCGGGGGCCGGCGGGCGGGCGGGCGGGCGGGCGGGCAGCCAGCGCCGAAGCTAGCTCCGCGCCTCCCACCTGCGTCGGTCGGGGCGAGTGCAGAACAATGCCCGGGTAGCGGGCCAGAGGGGCGGGACCGAGCGACGGGGTGTGAGCCGAGACTGCGAGGTCGAGGTCGGCTCCTCGGGAAAGTGGGTGAGGCCGGGCCCCGCCTTCCTCGAGCCGGGTCTGCGACCTCACGGTCACCGGACAGCAGGCCCTCGTCCCCGCCCCCTCCAAGGTCCAGCCTCGTCCGTCCCTGTGGCGTGGATGTTCGATCAGAGACACACCAAGGCCTGCTGTCCCCACCTGGGACGGCCCCAGTCTTGGGACAGGAAGGGGTGTGGGGGGGGGGCTCTTGGAGGATCCCCAAGGGTTCTGCAGCGGATTCAGACTCAAATCTCAGTACAAGACTCACTCTGGACAAGCCATCGCGCCTCGGCTCACCTTTGCGGTCCTCTACAAGCATTGCTGCCGTAGTGGGATTGAGCCCATGCTAGATCCAGAGGATTTATGCCCAAATCCAGATTCCTGGCTTCTCCCGAGAAATCCGCTCTGACAGGGCTAGGCCCAGGGCTGGCTGTGAACACCAGGCTGCAGTGACTCAGACCCCTGAGCCGGGTGGGTGCAGGCGCCACAGGCGAGGTAACAAGGGCTGTGTTGCTCGCTCCTGCCCAAGCACTTTGCTAAGCCCGTCACACCTTGTGTGGGGCCTCTGCTAGACTGTTTCTTGCTCCTCCGTTGTGGAGGCTGCCAGGGGTGGTTAGTTTTTGTTTTGTTTCGCTTTCCTATCAATGCTTTTCCGTAGTATATGCTGCAATACATAGTAGTTCCATTTCTGATGAGGCGCTGCTACAGGTACATAGGGCCAGGGAGATAGCTCAGTGGCTTAAGCACCAGCTTGCCGTGGCTATAACTGAACACCGCAGACGGAGCCACTTATTTAAAAGAAAGGTTTATTTGGCTCATGAGGTTAAACTTTGGGACGTTCAGGATCAGAAGCCACACCTATGGTGGTGCTTTTTGTGGGGGTTCTCTCTGTGGGCTGGTGCAGGGTATCACACCTAGCTCGGCTCTCTCCTCTTCTTCCAAAACCAAAGACTCACTGGATCAGGGCACTACCTTCAGGCCACACGACACCTCAGTGCTACTCCCAAAAGTTCCACCTCCACATGCCACAGTCAGGTGATGTTTTCCTCTCTTAGTCCTTCATAGAAGAGATTGAATTTCAACATGACTATTGGCGAAGACACTCAAACCACAGCATTGGCATTCTCAACGAGCACCATATCATAAGAAGACCCAAAAAATTTACTTTCAAAACAAAAATTTACTTTCCTTTTAGGTGTAAAGTGCAGCTATGCACCCGGGGTGCACAAATAGATCCACACTACATCTGCGGCAAGTCATGGGGAGGGGTGGCGAAGACATCCAAGAAGACACAGGAGGGAGGGCTGGGAGGGCTGGAGAGGGGCAAGCACCACAGTATATGGTGTCCACGGCATCACGCCCACACACCAACTGTCCAGAGGGCAAATGTCCATAGTGCGTGCCAAAGGTTCAAGTTCACACCCACCCTGGAGAGAAAGAAGCTAGAGAGACTGTATTCTCCAGCGAGAGGCTGGCGTCCAACGAGCCCTGAAAATATCGATCTAAGAAGTGCTCGCTTCTCTTGCAGATGCCCAGAGGAGTACAGCTAATGTCGGGAACGTCTGGCTCCCTTGCAGATCCCCCTAAGGACTAAAGCCTGTGGGAAGGACCACGCCTTCCTGATGAGGCCCAACCGTCACTGCAGACGGCCGCTGGGAGTGGGGCTGCGGGTACGGCTTGGGTCAGGTCCAAGCCCAGGAGGGGGCGCGTCCCTGGGAAGCTACCGACAAGTCAGCCCAGCCTGGACGCCAACCTCGGAAAGGGCTTCTCCAGCCGGGACCTCTGACTCAGCACCGCGCTACAGTGAGGCCAGAGAGTCCTGCACAACGTCGGGACGCACGGGCCGGGAGGAACCCTGCGCTAGAAGCCGTACTTGCCCCATGCGTGCCGGCAGGCTTTAAATCCACTTCCTGATATACGTGGCCTCGTCTGAAAATCTCAGAGTCCTGAAAAGAGACATTCATGAGGAAATGTTCCTGCTGCAAAATCTATTAGATTAAATGCTGGCTGGACATTTGTTTTCTGCCTTTAAGATACACAGAAGGTCCCAGCCAGGCTTGATGAAGGTCCGCCTAGAAAAGTAAGCATGTAGAGTCGGAAGGAAAGCGTGAAACTTACCGCTTGATAATAAGGAGGTAAATCTCCCAGATGGGTGTAATCCCAGCCCTCTGGGAAGCTGCCGCAAAAGGAGAGCAAGATTGAGGCCATCCTGGGCCGCACAGAGAGTTCAAGGCCAGCCTGGAACACAGTGAGACGCTGTCTCAAAATCATAAACAAAGAAGCAAACGTCCCAGCTGGAGGAATGTGCAAGGGACTTGAAAAGATATTTCTGTAAAGAAGATATATGAGTGGCTTCAGAAAGGCACAAACAGGCTCTGAGCATCGCTAGTCTTCAGGAAACGAAAGCTCAAACCACAGCAGGGTACTACTTCGCGCCCACAGGGATGACTAGTATTAAAGCAAGCAAATAAATAAAAGGTCTTGGGAGGATTTGGAGAAATTATAGTCCTCTTGCTCTGCTAGTAGAAATGTAAAATGGTTCAGTGGTTGTGCAGGAGCTTTGAAGATTTTTCTGAACAGCTACACAATGCTACCTAACCCATTAATTCTACTCCTAGACATATACCCAAAAAGAATTGAAAATGTGTTCAAATGAAAATGTGTGCATGAACATTCAAAGGTGCACTCTTCAAAATAACCAGAGGTAGAAATTGCCCAAATATCCATCAGAGGATGAGCTGACAAACGAAATGTGGCATATCCATGCAAATATATATTCTTTTTTTCTGTATTTAGGACAAGGTCTACAGGTTCCACAGGGTCTCACTACACAGATCAGACTCGTAGCCATCCTGCTGTTTTCAATCTCCCAAGTGCTGGGCTTACAGGTGTGCTCCACTGTCCCCAGTCTCCGTCACTGTCTCAGCGTGCCCCGGGGGTGGAGCTGGCCCAGCATACCAGGGGATCAAACCCCAGCCTCTGAGCTCTGTCTAAGCAGGCACTTTGGTCCACTGAGCTATCTGGCTGGTTCTTATATATTCTTTTTGAGACAGGGTCTCACTGTGCAGTTCAGGCTGGCCTGGAGCTCACTGTGTAGCCCAGGCTGGTCTTGAACTCGCAACAATCCTCCTGCCTTAGCCTCCCAAGTGCTAGGATTACAGGTATGTGCCACCACGCCCACCTTGCAAATATAATTTGGCCATACAAAACAATGAAGTACTGAACTGTGCCACACATCAATAAATCTGGAAAATCTTCTGGTAAGAAAGCAGGCCCCTTACAAAGGACCACGTGTTATATATGCATTAATTACCTTTCCTGTCACTGGAACAAATTACCCAACACGCACGATCTACAGGAGGAGGGTTTGATTTGGCCCCTGGGAGATCTCATCCTGGGTCCCTAGCTCCAAGGCAGGAACTCCTGGGGAAAAAGCACAACAGAACAAAGAGGCTTAGCTCATCACAGTGGCCAGAAGCAGAGCAGGGAACAGCGCCACAGATGACAGGCCAGGGATCACACGGAGAGTTCGCAGAGTCACACGTCTATGACACGCACAGAAGTGCACTTTACTAATCCGCGAGGAGGCTGCCAAGGCAATTGAGCTGACACAATTCAGCGGAGCCACCACATTGTGTAATCACCTTTATGGGCATTTTAAAAACAGGCAAACCTATAGGACAGAAAGCAGGTGAGGGGTTGCTGAGGGCTGGTGGAGGTGAGAGGGCAGGGGGAGGGGAAAGGGCAAAAGCGAGGGGTCTCTTTCTGAGACCAGGTTTTGCTATGCAGTTCAGGCTGGCCTCGAACTCACAGCACTCCTCCTGCCTCAGCCTCCTAAGCGCTGAGATTGCAGGTGTGCACCATCAAGCCTGGCATGGGATTCTTCTAACCATGGAAACGTTGTACAATGGACTTGCTGTCATGGGTGAAGAAAGAGCTTTTTTAAAAAATTCAGAACTAGACCCAAATGCACGTAGGAATTTGTCACATGGTAAAAGTAACAATGTGAACCAGTGGAGAAAATGTGGATTAGTCAGTAAATGTCATTTGGGACATCTGTATTTTAGATGCAGTGACTTGGGGCAACATGGCACCATATAATAGCAAAAGAAAGCTCACATGTACTCGCTCTTAAACAGGAGAAGGCCTTCCTAAACATAAAGTACATTAAAATCATACATAAAAGATTGAAAAATTTGACTCTATGACAAAATCTCTGTAGGGAATATATGTATGTATGTATTTATGTGCATATGTACCTACATAGGCACAAACATACATACACGCATACATCGAAGAAACTTGGAGAAATAGTCTCTATGAAAGGTAAAAGACAAAACTGGGGGCAAAGTATGAAATAAATGATTAACAGGGCCGAAGATACAGCTTAACAGCACAGCACTTGCCTACCAAGCAGAAGGTCCTGAGTTCAATTTCTGATACCCCCCTCAAAAAGAGAAATGATTAATAAAGTTGGATATGGCCAGGTATGGTGGTGCACACCTGTAAGTCCAGCATTCGGGAGGCTGAGGCAGGAGTGTTGCTGCAAGTTTGGAGCCAGCCTGGAGACCCTGTCTCCAAAATAAATAAATAAATAAATAAAGCAGGCAAGTGGGATGTGGTGGCACATACCTGTAATGCCAGCACTCTTGGGAGCCTGAGGCTCAGCCCAAGCTTGGCAATTTAATAATTTAATTTTATATATTTGGTGCAGGGTCTCACTATGCAGCTTGGGCTCACAGTGATCCTCCTGTCTCACTCTCCCCAGCTCTGGGATTATAAACGTGCATTTCCATGCCCCGTTTCCATGGCCACACCTGGGACAGGGCCAGCACAGCATGTGGTGCTGGGGATTGAGCCCAGGTCCTTGCGCCTTCCTAGGCAGGTGCTTAGACCACTGAGCTATCTCCACAGCCCCAA